GGGGTGGGGGTGGGGGTGGGTCTCCTGGGGTAGCAGGCCCGGCTGTCCAGCCCAGCTCCCACCAGACTGCGTCCTGGCCAGGCCAAGGGTCCCGCCAGTGTAGGTGGCTAGTTTCCCTCCCCTCAGTGGCTTTCTGGGAAAGGAGAGGGTCCCTGCCTGGGGCTCCGTGGGGACAGAGGGTGGCCGGATTAAATTAAAGTCTTTACTTTGGTTGAGTTTTTGTCCTCTAGCTCCCTCGCAGACAATAGGGGCAGGGGGGCTGTGGTGGCACAGAAAATGGATTGTGTAGGAGCCTGTGTGGCTGGGACAGGCCCCTCCCTTCTGGCCTCAGTGGCCTGATGTTTGTCGACCTCTGCTTTGCAGACCTCCCCACGGAGCCCTTGTGACTGAGAGTTCTCGTTCCCACTTTACAGACGAGGGAACTGGCTGGCGTACAGAAGCCATGGCGCCTGCCCACAGTGAGCCAGTAAGTGGCAGGTTCAGGATTTGAACCCAGAGCTGCCTCCCCCCATCATTTTAGGGGCCCCTTCCCTTCTCCCAGCCCAGCACTGGTTTCATGGTCTGATTTATTGGTGATGAGTATATCGGGGTGGGCCCAGGTCAGGCAGCCTGGCCGCTCCTATCTGCTGCCTTCCTGATGGGCAAGGAGGGAGGGGTCTCCATGTGACAGTTGCAGGAAGGAGCTAGGCTCCCCCGTTCCCAGGCTGGGCACTCCTAGGCTTCCGTTCCCCTGCCCCCCAAAGTTGTGCCGGCCCAAAGCTGTGCTGCGGGGATCAGATCCGGGTGGTTAGGGCTGGTCACGGAGGAGGCTGGGCAGAGTCTTTTGAGTTCTCACCTCCTGCCCAGCCCAGGTCATCGAGGGCTGGATCCGTTCAGGATAACGGGGACTTGGGTTTCTACAACAATGTGGACATATAGGGCAGCGTTCTGTCTCTCTGGGGTCCTGGGCAGCCATACCCCAGGCCCACGGAGCTTGAAGGTTCTGCAGGGTGGGGTGGGGGAACCCCAAGGTGTTCCAAGCTGGTGCCCCCGCTGGCAGCAGGCCTCTGAGAAAGAGGCAGAGGGCAGGGTCCATCCTTGGTCGAGTGGAAGGGTTGGGGTCCTGGGGTGAGTTCATGATCAGTGGTTCCCAGCTGGTGGCTGCTCAGTCTCTCCGGCTGGGCAAGGGCTGGCCGGGCGGCCCCCGGGGCTCCAGGCTGGGCACTACGCCATGCTGCTGGTGGAGCAGGGGGTGCTCTGGGTGCTCCCGATGCTGTGGTTGGTGCTACTGCTCTCTGAGGAGGCCGGGGCAGCCACTGCCACCACGGGCTCCCGCTTGCTGGGGGGACCTGGGAGCAGGGGCGGAGGTCAGGGCCCCGGCCTGGGCTCCCCACTCCCCCAGAGGCTTTGCTGGGCTCCCCCGGGGGGTGGTAGAGGGGTCCTGAGCACTCATGGTGGGGGCCTGGGATACTCACGTGTGTGCGAGTAGATATACCAGAGCGCAGCGGTGAGCAGGGCCCCGATGAGGAAGGCGCCAAAGGTGATGCCCAGCACAGCGGGCAGGACGAGGGTTTTGCCTGTGCAACCAAGGGAGGGACAGCTGGGTCAGCGCTGCTGCCCCCGCCCTGGCTCCCTGCTCCTGTGCTGGCCAGGAGCACAGGTTTTGGTGTGAGTCCCAGCTCACCCACTGCCCTGACTTCTCTAGCAACCTCAGTCTCCTCATCTAGCAAATGGGTTCAACACACCCATGCGTGGCACTTAGCTGTGGTTGCTATGACCGTTTGCCAAGAGGGCCTATCCAGGCCTTTGGGGCCATGCCTGCCTCCCAGTGCTGATACAGATGCATTTTAGGGAGGCTGGCTGGCATCATCTGAGCAAAAAGTGGGGTCTGGGAGTCCAGAGCCCGTCCCTCCTCGCTGTGTAACCTTGGGTCCGGCCCTGCCCCCTCTGAGCCTGATTCCCCGGTAGCGACAGGCGGACCAGCTCTGAGGCCTCTCTAGCTCTGCTCTTGAGTTTTCCAAGCCTCATTCCTTCCACATCCCTGACTCCTGTGTGATCGGGCCAGGCAGCCGCCCCTTGGGCCGGAGTTCCTATCCATGCACTGGGGTTATCAGCCCTTGTCTCCCTGTTGTGAGCTGGGAGTGGGACTCCAGCCTGGCCTGGGTACCCCCCACATCTGCCTCCAGGGTCAGGGACTCTTCTGTCTGGTGGGGGCCTGGGTCCAGAGGGAACTAACAGAGGCTGGAGGGTGCTGGGCTGAAGGGCCATCCTCTGCACTGGGGGCCTTAAGGCGAGGCCAGTACCACCCCAGGGTGTCTTCTGTCCCCTGTCCCGTCCAGACCTGAGTCTGAGGGCCCCATCCCCCCAATGAGGTCAACCAGCCACCATGGGGTCAAGAGTCCTGTCCCACAGGGCGGTCAGGAGCAGAGGAGGCTGTCCATCCGGAAGACACAGCTGTGGCTCCGACTGCGGGCAGCTGGGGAGCCCTGGTCCTGCCCTCCCGGGGCTGCTCTCTCGGGTCCTCCCTGCTGTGAGCCCAGCCCCCATCCCTCTGGGTCGTCTGTTGTGCCCCACTCTGACCTCAGCCATGAACCCCAGAGACCTGGGGGGAGCACTCACCAGGCATGTCAGGGCTGACGATGTTCAGGCGCATAGAGACGGTCCTGCGGACCTGGGGAAGGAACAGAGCGGTGTGCGGCCCAGCCTCTGAGAGAGCCTTCCGGTTTACTCCCCGGCACCCGGCCCCAGTCCCAGCCCACCCTGGGCCTTGGCTTTGCATCCCATCCCACCACTTCCAGCCGGGAGCCCTCGAGCCGGTCCTGGGAGGTCTGTGCTGTGGGAGTGTGTTGGGGACCATCCCTGGCTGCTACTGGAATGTTTCACACGACCAGAGGCCCTCTGTGCGAAGGGCCTGAGAGGACTGTGTCCAGGCCGAGCGCCTGAGTGGGATGCACTGGACGGTGAAGCGCTGTGACTAGTAAATGCAGAAAATCAGAAGGTTGTCTCCTCTCTGAACCCTCTCCCCCGAGGCCTCCTGTTCACTGAGATTACACTGGTGATCTTGCTTCATGGGTGGGCGGGTGGATGACTGGGATGGTGGAAGGACTACGGACGAATGACTGGGAGGGATAGTGGGTGGACGGGTGGATGAATGGACGGTTGCAGCTACACAGCCTACCAATGTTGAAGACACAGCAAAGTCATCAGAGGCTGTGGGGTTGCAGAAAGAGTACCCCTGAGAGCCAGGAGCCACCCTGACTGGCTCTGCCCCTCGCCACCTGGTCCCACATCCTCCTGGGCTGTGGTGTCCCTTCCTGAAACCCCCACACCCGAAAGCCACCCTTGACATTGGTCCCGGCCCAGGCCCCACTCACCAGGGATGAAGTTCGAAGACGCATGGCCACGGTGCAGCTGAGGGTGCCAGTCTTGGGCGTGGGCACCATGTAGCCACGCAGGAGGAAGCTGAAGCGCATGACACCATGGGGGCCGGAGTCCAGCAGGCTCACACAGCTGCCCTTGGCGGCCTGGTTCTGGATGAGTTCCACGGTGTCTGCCTCAGGCTTCAAGTCCAGCTGGCAGCTGTCCAGTCTGGGCATGATCTCGGGGGTCGGCGGGGACATGCTCACCTGCGTAGGGAGGCAAGGGGTCAAGGCATGAGCAGTTACTCTGAACGCTTCACCCTGCCTGCTCATGAGATAAGCTAGATTCATTCCAGAGTTCCTGCCCTGAGCCCGATGGTGGGACCGTCGTGGGCCTGCCTGGAGGAGGCGGTGACATTCTACTCAGCGTCTCTGAGCTCTGCCTTTCCTATCTCTCCCCTCCGTCTGGCTCCCTCCTTTCTCTGAAAAGTTGAATTCTCTTCTCTGTACTAACGGTGGGAAGAAAGGTCCTGAGAAACCCCAGGAGTGGGCAGCCCTGGGCGGGCAAGTCCAGTACCTGCACGAAGCCCTGCTGCCCCAGCTCAATAGCGTTGGAGGCCTGCAGGAACTGCGGGGTGAGGTAGAGGCCCAGCTGCAAGGAGAGGCTCTTCGTGTCGATGCACTGCACTGCTTTCTGCGGGAGACGAGGGGGACGGTCAGGGGGGGCGGGGGTGGGATAGGAGCAGGGGTCACGGTCCAGAGATGCCTGACCCTCACCCTCATCTTTTAAAAACACACCAGCCTGGCTGGCTGGCTCAGTGGTTGAGCATCGACCTATGAACCAGGAGGTCACGGTTCGATTCCCGGTCAGGGCACGTGCCCAGGTTGTGGGCTTGATCCCCAGTGTGGGACGTGCAGGAGGCAGCCGATCGATGATTCTCTCTCATCATTGATGTTTCTATCTCTCTCTCCCTCTCTGAAATCAATAAAAATATATTTAAAACAAACAAAAGGTCCGCACCAAACTAATACTGAGAATCGGCTCCGCACCAGGCCTGTGTGAAATGCGTTCCCTGTGTCCTCTCAGTGGCTGCTCATAGGCACCCCCACAGGGGTCCTCTCTTATGCCGCGGCTCACACCCGTGACCTTGGGGCCCAAGGCCACACAGCCGATATATGCTAGAACCTGCTGACTCGCGAGGCTGAGAACATAACCCTCGACAGTCCTGCTTCTGCTCTACAGAAGGGGCGGCTGAGCCCCGCTGAAGACACATGGCGTGCCAGGGCCAGGGCGAGTTCCCTGAGGCCTGCTCCCTCCCAGGCCTGGAGGCGCCCCGGGACCTGGACCAGATGTTCGCACGGTGACCATCCATCTCACCCGCTGCGGCGATGAGCTTGACAGGAGGCTGACGACCACCTGCAGAGACAGAGCCACGAGCTGGTCAGACAGAAA